TATATATATATATATATATATATATATAAAAGCAAAAAGTGCCCAAATCATAAGTGTAGACTTCAATTTATTTTCACAAAATCAACCATCACCCAGACCACAAAACGGAAGATCTAGCATCCCAGAAGCCCCCGGTCCTCCTTGCTGTCTGTCCACCACCAGCATCGCACAGAGCACCCTGCCTTCCGGCAGCGTAGGTTACTGTCGCATGAGTGGAGTTACACGGAGCATACTCTTTGGTGTCTGGTGTCCTTTGCTCAGAAACCCGGTGCCACTCGCCCCTCCTCCTGGTTCTCTCACCCCTTCCTCCTGCCTGCGTCTCTCCCCACTTTTCCCTCTACCCTCATTTGCAGATAGATCCATCATCTGCACACCTTTTGGTGAGGTTTCTCCATGTAACTATGATTGTAGATCATTCATTCTCGTCACTGTATACTGACCACTGCAAGGAGATGCCACAGTTACTCAGCCATTCCATTCTTGGCAGGCTTTTGCCCTTTCGCTAGTTTTACTTTATTTGTTTGTTTGTTTTGTGGAAATGAGGTCTCACTATTTGCCCAAGCTGTTCTTAAATTCCTGGTCTCAAGTGATCCTCCCACCTTAGCTTCCCAATGTGCGGGGGTTACAGGCAAGAGCCACCGCGCCCAGCCTATCCTATTTTAAAGTATCAAACTATTGGTATGATTGTTCATGTACTACCATCATTTCTGTACTTAACAAAATCTGTAACCAGAATAATTGGCATCACCTGGCACACCCAAGGGGGGTATTTGTGGCATTAAAGTTGCATCCGGGCCAGGTGTGGTACATCAGGGCTGGGTATGGTGGCTCACGCCTATAACCCCAGCATTTGGGAGGCTGAAGCAGGTGGTTCACTTGAGGCCAGGAGTTTGAGACCAACCTGGCCATGATGGCAAAACCCCATCTCTACTAAAAATATAAAAATTAGCCAAGTGTGGTGGTGCACACCTGTAGTCTCAACTACTCCGGAGGTGGAGGTTGCAGTGAGCTGAAATTGTACCACTGCACTCCAACCTGGGAGACAAAGTGAGGCTGTCTTAAAAACCGCAAAACAAAAAACAAAACAAATAAACTTGCATCTGAATAGAAGCTCCAGAAGCCTTGCGATCACTGTCATCCTGAGTTTCATTCCCATTTCTCAGGAATGGTGAGGTGGATCAATTTTCCTTGCTAGTCATCTTTAGGTTCCACAAGTTGCACTAAGCCTGGTCCATTTCCAGAAGTTCCTTTTTGAGACGGAGTTTTGCTCTTGTTGCCTATGCTGGAGTGCAATGGCACAGTCTCAACTCACTGCAACCTCCGCCTCCTGGGGTCAAGCAATTCTCCTGCCTCTAGCTACCGGAGTAGCTGGGATTACAGGCATGTGCCACCACATCCAGCAAATTTTTTTTTTTTTTTTTTTTTTTTTGAGACGGGTTCACCATGTCGGCC